ACTTACCTATGAATATTATATTCCATTTCTGCCACTAGATCCTCCTAAATGTTACACACTGGACCTTTAACTGAGCAGAAAGACTGGAAGCAGGGGCTCACCTCAAGCTCAATGACCCACCTACCAGCACCTTTTCAGGTTAGAGCTGTGATCTGTTTTTGGGGCGAGAAGCCAAAAAGACTACAGTTTTTAGTGGTAGCTACTAAATTAATCAACATTAACATTAATGAAGCTAGCGTTATTCATTTTCATGACCCGTAAGCTTCATCTTAAAAATGATTGATGATGAAATGTCCAGCAGAAGAAATAAAACGAGATAATAAACTTCCTGAGCCATTCTCAAAAAGTTGAGTAAATGTCCGGATCTCCTGTAATAAATGATGTGGAGTACGTATTTGGTAACATTAGCTTAGAGAGGAACAGAAACTGTACTTAATGTGGATTGGTGATGCCAATTTATACGCGTACATCCCATGTGAGTTTGAGCCTGTTTCCCCCTGCTCCCAGTCTCAAGCTAAACTAAACTAATCTAATCTACTCCAAAAACACTGGACACATGAAAACCGTCAATCTCCTCATCTTACCCCTTTCCCAGAATGTCAGGACTATTACTTTAAAGCGACACTGATATCTACTTTTTTCCTCCGCTGTCGTATTGCAGTGTCTCCTCTAAAGCTTTTGTTGCCCCCCCCCCACATCTCCCAGAGCTCTTGTAAAGAAAATATCTTAAATAATGAAATATACTAAAAAGAAAAAAATGTCGATCTTCCTGACTGCTGTCAAGCTAGGACATGACAATATATCACATTTAAAGGTTATAATATCACATATGTTTGTATGACATCCATGTTGTTCTTGGTTTAAATTCAGAAGCGAGTGGTTTTAATGTAGTGGTTTGGATTGTAAATAATATAGCTATTTGGGCCCACAGTATGCATCACACTTACATTTGATGTAAGAGCACTTTTTATCCCCACTGCTATGTAATTCCACGTGTGGCGTTCCTACATGTAAGTGCGCGCGAGAGAAAAGCGTGTCTGTACTCGTCCGTCTATGTGATTGCGAGAGAGGGAAGCGAGAATGTGAGCATCTATCTTTTTGTGCGAGCGAGCGTGCATCCGGCGTCTGCGGGTTGTTTGTGTTCTACCGATTATAAATAACATTTTTACTGTAGATATGAGTGCATTTTTCCAGTCTTCAGATTTGATTTGCATTTTTTCTAGAACTTTGTTTTTTTGTTTTTTTCCTTTCTGCACTGTAACACATGATGAAACACATGTATGGTCCCTCATATCTGTAGATACAAACCATGAAGCAATCAGTAGCCATCTCTCATTGCGCTTGTAGTGTTTTAGTGAACTGCATGCAAGAAGTGACTACTGTCCGCTCATATGGTAATATCATTTTAAAGCCAAAAGAATAAAGGACATATTTTTTGTAAATGCTTGTTTATTTTCTCCATTTCCTTTACAGCCTTTTCTTTGTTCGGTGGCTTCATAAGGTTTTTTTTCCCCTCTGAGTGACATCCGGTCTTTGGTCTGTGATCTGAACCTGACGTATGATTGCTGAACATGGCGGGAACTTTGGTTGAACAGGATCATTCATGTGGTTCAAGTACATGTTACACTTAACTATGTATCAATTTGCAAAATGTGACAATTGACCTTTTTTTTGTTATAACCAAAGATGTGGCAACAAAACTCAAAATCTAGATTTCCAAAATAAAAGCCTATTTTGGGAAGCAATTTTGCATGCACGGTGCGTTCATTGTGAGGTGAGAGCAGAGAGGTGGCGATAGGCTCAGCATATTTAATGCGGTTTAAACAGATACTTAACTGCCGAGATGATGCTCTGTCTTCAGCCTGAGGATAATGTATTGGATATTGACGGCGGAGTATCCCAGAGGGAAAACTGGGCCAGTAAACCCTGCCAGAAGGTAAAACTGAGCAACATGAGTGAATGTTTTCTACAAGCTTGATGAACGTTGTTGTATTTAAATTCAACTAGAATGCTAACTGTATGTCAAGGGCAAAATATGTAAAAGCCAAGTATGGTTAAACACGTACTAGCATCACTTAGGGCTGCACAATTAATCGAAACATTATGGAAATTGCAATATCACTGAAGCTGCAATTATTTGATACAACAGCATTGTAATTAAATACTGTAGTAGTAAAGATGCCCTGGCCTACAAATCCTGTTTTTCAGATTTAAAAAATATGTTTGTTTGAAACAGACCCCCAAAGATTTCACATCATCATGATTTGAATAGGTTTTTCAATTAAAATCAAAATTGTGAAGCAAAAAGGATAATCTCACACTAATCATGCATCATATCGCAATTTTCTTTCTGTCAAATAATCCCAATATTATGTTTTTACTATATCGTGCAGCCCTGGTATCACTTTATTTATTTATATAGATTCTTAGTAAATGGTTTGTAACGCAACTACATTATAGTGTTTTACAAACTGTAATGTATTTGTAGGCAAATAAAAGGACATTATTTAGTGTTAATAAAGGTATTTCGCACGTGAAGCAGTTGGAACTGGTGTAAAAACAATTATTGGTATATAATTACATACGATCAAATCTCAATCTACTAAATGTTCTTAACTCAAGGTCCACTTACTAGAGTTCTTTCAGAGCTTTCAGCTGCATCTCATGAGCTTCATCAGCCGATTGTGTTTGCTAGGTTGTCATGAGTGTAAGCGAGTACATAATTATAACATAAATAATGTAATTTATAAATACAATTAATCAATATTTCATATTAAAATGAAGACATTTTATATGATTTCTGTGTTATATTGTCATTCATTAACTGTTTATACACCAGTTACATATGCAATATCTAAAAATAAATAAATGAACACTTAAAAATGCCTCTACTTATAACCACTGTATAATGTGCTGTCAACCATTTATCAATTGTTTAAATACTGCTTATAAAAGCTAAATATGGGGATTAAAAATAATTCCAAAATTGTGTTTTGTATAGTTATAGTGTTTCTGTATAGTTGTAAGTTGCATAAAAACATTGTCACTGCATTTGTTAAATAACAGAATTTACAGATTTGTTTGACAAATAAATGTAACTCAGTATCCTCTTATAGGATTTCTTCCCGAGCATTCAGACACATCTCCTGGCCTTTATTATCCCATAATATGACCATCTCTCATCATGAGACGGAAGTTTCAGACTGAACCATCTTCAGGATAACAGTAATAATCATTCACCGATGAAGACCACACAAGATGTGGCTGGAAGCTCTCGGAGAAAAAGATTAAGTGGACTTGGAGCTGGATCTCTGTCTCAGTCTTTGTCTCTCAATCCCATTTAGACGCCCACTCAGACCTGGGGTCTGCTCAAGGTTTCTGCCTCTTCAAAGGACGTTTTTTCCTTGCCACTGTCGCCAAGTGCTTGCTCATATTGGGGATTGCTGGGTCTCTGTAACTAATGTTAAAGTAGGGTCTTGACCTGCTCTTGAATCAGAGTGTTTGAGAGAAAAGGATAATAGAGAATGAGTGAAAGTCATATGATGTTAGAATAAGCTAAAATAACAATCTATTTGACCTTCAAAGGCGCTATATCTGCCCAGTTATGAACAATATATTCAGTATTCAGCCTATTCAGCATCTTGACAGCAGACATTGGTCAACACATAACAGTTACATCATTCGAGTCAAGTCCTGTCGACCACAAGAGCCAGACAGCCACACACAGGGAGAAGAAGGTGGTGCTGTTGGGATAGACGGGAGGGTGAGACGAAGGTGAAAAGCTGAGACTACCCCCACCTGGAACCCCCCTCCAAAGCCACCCGGACCCTCCAAACGCTTTGCTCGCTTCTCCGTTCTGTTGCCTGGAACCTTAATATTATGCCCCTGTGATTGACAGCAGCATCTATGAGTAGCGACCACAATACCTTTCAGCTGAAAGCAACAGCACACACACCTTACCAGTTTGATTATGTAAGGGAAAGGGGAGAGGTCGAGGTATGACCTTGTGTTCCTAATGAAGTCCTATGTACAGGCCATGCTGTACACACGGGCACTGAGGATCATAAAGGACTACTGAACGTACGTCTAGTGTCCATTGTGTCCCGCACCTGCTGCTGAGACTGTTGTGTGGTTATGCAATGAGCCATGAAAATATTTCTATACATGAATAGGCCCGTGGATGAGGTAGGAACACAGAGCTTCCTCTTGCCCCCGTCTGATCTCCGCCTCACCCAAAGGCCGCGTTGTTGTCTTTCAAACTCAGCAGTGCTCTCTAGAGGCTGCAGGGCGGAACAAACTCAAACTGGAAGCACTGGTAGGGGAACGTCAATGAGAGTGGGACAGCAGGGTGACACAGCAGTTGAGACACGTCACCCCACGACCAGAAAGGTGTTAGCTGACGTCAAAGTGTCCCGGAAGCGTCGGCTCGTGTGCTTTTTTTTGTTGTTTTTTGTTTTCAGTGAGGAAAAAACTGATTTAAATAAATGTCTGTTTGCTGACAGAGGACAGATGTTTTCGAGCAAAGCTAATGTCACAGATTGTCCTGAGGCAAAAGAAACATGTAATCAACAAATCTTCTGACGTCAGAAAAAAAAATGATTTAACCCCCTCATGTTGGAGGATGTCAGTGGCAAGAGAGGGGAGGTCAGTTGTTAAGCCACAGATGCCATCTGCTGGTAGAAAACTAGAATACTCTGAGAAATAGATGTGTTGGTCAAGAGATTGTTTTATTGATCTGCATCTTGTCAAAGTCCATTTTATGAAGAAAAAAAATCAATTAACCACCTTTAGACTGAGATGGATGTCAAAAAGTGTTTTATTCACACACTCATGGAAATGTACAGTTGTTTTAAAAAGAACATGAAATATATTTGGCCCCCAGGTTTGGCAGTATTGAGAGACAAAGGTAATAACTCCGACACAAGCCTCATCTGAAAACTGAAAGAAAAAAAGATGCACTTTTATGGCACGTGACTGTAAAATGATAAATATAACATGCACGGACAGGTTTTTCTCTAATCTTGCTAAATGCTTTGGCCCACATTTGTTCGATTAACACCAAAAAGACAGTGGTAGTGATGTTACTGAGCGGAGAAATAGAAAGACAAGAGAAACAACAGACACACATAGGAGTGAGAAATAACAATTATTTTTTAAAACCTTTTTGAAAAGCTCAGATTCGTGGTGCAGATACTGTGACAAATAATGATTATTAATTATTAATTAATAATCATTATCTAGATGGTCGTGATTTGGCATAATGTTCCTTCATCCTGTAGTAGGACACTGTGTTGGCAGCATTTTAAAATGTTCACAATACTTTATCATTTACATGTTAATAACTACACGAAGGTTGAACTATTACTAAACAAACAAGATGAGTCCACAGTAATGCTAGTGGCTGCTGTGCTTTGAGCTAAATACTAATGTCAGCATGTTGACAATGACTTAACACAAAGTACAGCTGAGGTCAAATGTCATTCGTTTTGCAGGTATTTGGTCATTAAGTGTTGGAAAACGTCAAACTGTAAGGAAAAGTCAAAATTGTGTACTTTTTGTGCGACTTGGAGGCGTCAGAAAGAAGCTGTAGACACAATACAGACATATTGGAAGTTGGTACAGCTAACACGTTAGCAAACAGGCGCCTATTTAAACATCCAGCACACAGAGCAGCTTTAGCATTCATTTGGAGTCGTGTTTCTGAGTGTAAATCCAATATTCACTCTCTTTGAGCTTTGCTTCGCTCTCCACCGACTCCTGAGGGAAATATCTGGCTATTTAGCTGCTAAATGCTCCACTCTTCACTAGCACGCTTTGTCTGCCTTCTGGTAAAAGGTCAGGTAGTGTATAGTGGGTTTATCAGGGATTTTCCACCTGAAAAGCCTTAAAACAAACCTATGAGCACAGTGAGAGTGAACCAAAATCATAAAGTTTACACACCAGACAACCAAAACAACAAGCTGAAAGAAGCTAAAAGACTCTAGACTACTAGTAACTCCTTTCCATTGTTAATGTAAAAAAGGAACAAAAAAGACCTTTAGTATGAATTATAACAGATTTATGTTCTTTTTTTAAAATCATTTTACAGTTTGTGTTAAGCCTTGAAACATCTTAGGTAAACTGAACACATGCTATACAGACAGGCATTTAAGAACGATTAGCAGCAACGATGAGACACCAGCACAATGGCAAATACTGAAACAATACAAGCACCTCAAAATATTGATTTGTCATAGATGCCAGTCACAACCACTAAACATGCTGTAATGATTACAGACTTTATAACAGGGCATAAATTATACAAGTAACGGCCAGAAACACTGCTTTATTGAGCTTTTTCATTGTAGTTTCATAGTCTAACAATCTTAGAGAGGTCTAGAGACAAACTGAGCTAAAATTAGATCACCTCTCTGAGCCTTCTGTGTCTGTGTGACTCATTGTCTCTTTGGAAGTGCACTTATCAAGAATAAATCAAACTCTGATGGTTGAAGGTCACAATTCTTGAAGAAAGATTTTCCAAATATTAACTGATCTCTCTCTGAAGCATTTTAATCATCAGGTACTGCCTGAGCGTGACGTGTTTGTTGTTTGGTCAGCGTCTCCCTGCACTGGCAGTCCTGGTTGCTCCTGCATCAGCTCCCTGATTTCCTCCTCTGTCTGCTCCACAGATCCCGCCGGAGCCTCAGTCTGTGAGTCATGATGGTCTGGATTGTTCTGGAGGTCTGTCTGGGGCTGCCGTTCGGCGGATGCACCAGCGGGGGCAGTGTTACTCTCACGGGTGTCTACATGTGAGCAAGTTTGGAGAGTCAGGGACTCTGTGGGGTCGGGGAAATGGCAGGGAATGCTCTGCTGCTCTGTCTGGCAGTGGAGTTCTGTGTTTATGTCAGACTCTAATGCGGTCTCTACTGTGGGGAGAGTGGGGGCGCCGCTGACATTTTCTCTGAGAAACGCAGGAGTGTCATTCACAGAGCTGTCTATCTGATAATGCTGCATGGGGGGAGTGTTGTGGAAGGGGTTATTGAGACTCATGAGCGTGTTATTAGAGTAACTCAGCACAGAAGGAAGGGGAACCGAGTAGGGCGGAGGACCCGTTCCGTGCAACGAGCAATCCCAATTATCCTTCTCTTCGTCTTCTTCCTCCTCATCATCATCGTCTTCCTCATCCTCCTCATCCTCCTCTCCGTCCTCAGGGTCGATTGTTTCCAAGCTGTGCGTGCTGCAGTCCGACAGCCCGCTGCAAACACTGCTCCCATCCTCATCTTCCTCGTAAGCTTCATCATCTTCATCCTCTTCATCTTCTTCTTCATCTTCGTCGTCTTCGTCCTCTTCTTCTTCTTCCTCTTCCTCTTCTTCATCTAGATGCGAATCCGTGTCGCCTGTGTTCTGGAGGTGCATGATGGGAATGTGCGGCGCGCCACTCATCAGTGGAAACTGCAGGTTCGGCTGCTGCTGGACCAAGGAGGAGTCGCCATGGTAACCGTTGCCATTGGTTACAAGCTGCTGCTCCGGCTGCTGCTGATGATGCTGCTGCTGCTCCTCGCGGCTCTTCTCCAGCTCCAGCTTCATGATGGTGTGGAGGAAGTGGGTGCGCACCCTGACCGGGTTGAACTCCAGGCGTCCCGTGGTGTTGCTGCAGCCTTCTTTGGTGCAGCCACAAGGGAAGGACATGCGGTCCACCTGAGGAAGAAAAATACATACAATAAACCCACCAGTGTGGAACAGTAGTAACAGAAAAGGTAAATTCAGCTGCCAATCATAGCTGGGTGCTATATGTATACAGTTACACACCTTATTGTTCTAGAAATTCATAAATACCCTTGAAAATCTTGGCTTAAGTTCAATTAGAGGGTAACATTATCTTCTATGCTTAGAAAAATAAAAAAAAATTTGGTTTAAAAATTCCTCCCAAACCTTGAGGATAAATTCAATAATGCATGATGCATAAAAAACAAGGCTGCTTCTGAGAAACATTTTTAAAAACATCAGGTTTTTACCAGACAAATGCTGTAAGATGAGAAGTGGCGTGCATAGAAGCTGTCAGATTTCAGAGGGAGGGCACTGCAGGCTCGAGGCCCCCTGGGAAATAGTAGATGGAACTACTTGCTGTATTCTTAAAAGCTTTAAAGTAAAACTGGCAAACAGCCAGAATTTCAAAACTCAAAGCATTGAGCAGTTGTGTAACCTCAAAACTCTTTATGTTACTCTCTGATTTGGCTCCAGACTTTGTGTAAAGTACAGAGTCCCTTAGGAAGTGCTCAAATCTCAGATGGGCCCCCACCTGCTTAACTGCCTGTGTGTCTGTTGTAAACAAGAATCTACAGTACCAGGATTTATAATTTCAACTTTAAATAAGTTCTACTGCACAGACAGACACGAACAACACTTTAGTATTATAGATGGGCCTCACCACAGTTCCATTTACCTGGCACTTAATGCCGGCCAGGCTGCAAGCACAGGTCTCTGGGTCGCATATCCCCCTGCAGCGGCACCCACACTCCTCTCGGGACATTCGGAGGGCACGCAGCTCGTGCTTCTCCTCCACGTCGATGCGCCTGACCCCAGAGGAGCGGAGAAGGGCGCGGCGCCGCCTGGTAGTCAGAGGCTGGAGGAAGAAGTAATCATCCACCTCTGTGTTGTCCACATCCAGGTCATCTTCGGAGATGTCATCAAGCGTCAGGGTATCCGCCTCCATGGAGGACACAGTGCCATTCTTAGTCAGCTAGAGGGCAGAAAAAGTAGTTTAAATTAAGACTGGATCATAAATCTGTGACTACACATACATTTAGACCCTCAGAATAATTATATAAGAAACAGATATTAGCAATAAAACATGCAGAATATGTTATTAATGCCATAAAAAAGGAGCAATAACTATTTTTATATTTAAAAGTTAACAATCCTCCAACAATTCCACTAAACTGCAGGTAAATGAGGTTTTATTGAGCCCACTGACTTTGAGTTTGATGGCATTAAGTTTTTCCTCTTTGAGATGATCCCTCAGCATGTTCCAATGGCTCTGTTTCTGCTCCATGGCAAACTCCCTGAGGGTGAAGCGCTTCACCCCACTGTGACGTGGTGACATCCCCAGGGTGCTGCCACCCTGTGTGGGCACAGTGGTGAAGCCCTGCCGCCTGTTGAAGTAATAAACGGTCACACTCTCAAAGTGCACGTTGCGGCCCCGCAGTCGCTTTGACTGCTGCTGGAGAGTTGCTGAGATTGAAACAGAGAGGTGAGGAACATAATTAGTGAAAAAAACTAATTTAACTAATGCTTAGAAAACGCTATTAGGGACATGTTCAAGTGAGAGTTTTGCTTAACAGCGGTCATGACTAAATGTTAGAATGTAGTGTGACCGTCAACAAACTGGCGAAGCAAATAACAAATAGAGAACATTGGTAAAATCAACATAGTAGAAATGGTAAAAATAATAAAAAGTACAACAGAGTTCAAAAGTACAAAAAAAGGCCCTCCAGTTGCAGTTTAAGAATTGGATTACATTAGCAGTCTTATTAGCAGTCCTACTGGTTCTTTGGCTGACATACAGCTGTGTGTCATCAGCATAGAGCTGGATTTTAACGTGAAATATCCATAATATGTGACTCAAAGGCAACATAGAACAAAGGTGGTCCCAAAATATATCCTTGGGGGACACGACTGGGATGGAAGAGGCTCTTGGGCTAACAACATCTGAGAAACTGCTTCTGGTAAGGTAGGAACAAGACGAGTTGAGAGCCATGTCCCTAATAAAATTGTGTCTTGTGAAGTAAGATGAAAATGAAGCAGCAACTAGAGTCCGATTCAAGGTCTAAATTATTGGCAACAATAATAACAGCAGTTGTGGTACTATCAAACAGGTATCCTTGTTGCTGTTGAATTAGGGTGAGCTCTTCATAGAAACATGTATATTCTTTATACTCTCTACGGCCAAAGATTTTGACTGATGGATTTATTACATGCAAAACAGCCTATTGCTGGTGCATATTGTCACAGGTAAGTATATATCTCAGTGTTCTGGTTGAAATACTGTTTACATGTGACCTCAAGTGTTTCCTGTGCTTTGCACCAAAACATACGAGCTGGAGCTGCTGACAGGAGCAGTGCAGTAATGTGAGCTTACAGTCCAGCAGTCCAGAAGGGACGGGATGGTTGAGACTATCACTGCTGTTGCCGCTGTCGCTGCAGGAAACCTCATCATCATCAGACCCCTGCAGGGACAGGTAAGGGGACGGACCCTCCTCAAGCTTCCTCTTCAGGATCCCACTCATCATGTGGCTCCTCCCACTGGTTGAACCTGCACAAAGGACAGGGGGCAGAGTTTATGGCTGATCATACATCTGTATGTAACATAGATAAATATTGTGCAATAGTTCATAATCATTCAAATCTGAGATTAATATCCATTTCATGCTAATGGACAGGGGAAAAATATGGAAATGGATTTCATGTTTAAAAGGGTGGGAGAGTTAGTGTAAAAATGTAATCCATTACAGTTACTAATTACCTGTTTTAAAATTCAATAACCTTATCCAAGTATTCCAATGTTAAAGTGACTTAACTGTATTACTTTCCTTTACTTTTGGATTACCTTAACACCACTGCACAAATATGCAAATAAAAACAGGAGGAAAGAAATGTCAATAAGAAGTATTTGATGCAAGTGTATTTCTTATTATTTAGAACAATGTGACCAATGGAAATTAAATTATTAAATTAAATTAAATTAAAGCATCAACAATGTGTCCTCCTCTCAGTGTATTTTTTTTAAACTGATGCTGCTGAAAGCTGCTAAATAACCCCCTATTTTTACTAAATGTAACTGTAATCTGATTACATCTTTTTCTGTAACTGTAATGGATTACAGCTATTTTTGTATCCTGATAACTCAGTTACATGTAATCAATTACTCCCCAAGCCAGTTTAAATAAATATGGTTCATTTTGTACAATAAATAAGTCTTAAGTTTAGTTAAAAACATGAAGATATGTTTTATTTATATATATAATAGCGTCTAATGGAGCTCTCCCATTGGTCGATGTCTGACACGAGGGAAGAGATGAAGTCTGGAGAAGTGCGTTAGCTTTGCTTAAACAATGAAAGTTAAACATTTAACGTTCATACCAATTTTTTTTATTTTTTTTTTATAAATCCTGGACCGTCAACGCGATATTCTGTGACGGGATTTGGTATAAAAATGTCCAACATGGAGTTTTTTTTTAAGCTGTTTCACTCGGTAGCTAACGTTAGCTCAGTAAGTAGCTAATGTTACAGTGTTTTTATTAGCACAGTGAGAGGCTGCTATTAAACCAACAAAGACAGCCAGTGGAGTTACAACATTTTTAACAAAGAAATGCCGAGGAAACCAGAAAGTAGGCTACCACTCAGAGTGTCTCTGTCCCTGTGGGAAGGACGCAGGAGTCTCTGTCTGTCTCCACCTGGCTGTGGACTTGGACACCTGTCTGCCACTGACACTGACACCTGACAACCCCACAGAAGAGCACCAGCTACCAGGTAACTGTTTATTTTACTGCATTTTAGTTAACTGACATTGAAATAAAAATAAAGCTGCAGCACAATTTCACCAAAAAAAAAAAAAAAAACTTAAAATGATTGTGTTGGAGTCTGTACCAAACAAACAAATGAAACAAAAAAGGGTTTTCTAATAGATTTGTAGGCCAGAGAATCTGTGCAGCACTACAATACTTTATTATAATGGTGTTTCCACACATTTTATCTTTATCAAAAAATTACAGCTTGTTGCAGTTTGGATATTTCACTTGGCCATATTGCAATTTCAATAATATTGTGATTAATAGCACAGACCTGAATAATAACTAGATTTTGGAAAAACAACTATTATAACTTATTTTATGTGCTAAAATAAAATTATACAGGAAATGTTTACTTGTAGTCTTTGTCAAGAGGGGGCATTGGTACATATGTTTATTGACACTGGGAAGTTTACGTGACTGTTAGTCAATGTGTTTGTATTGTAAAACCTATTCTGAAGCTATTCTCTCGAATCTTGCCCCACACAAATATATATGTTATAATAAAAAAAACTAGAACTGACACTGAAACTAATAAAAACCCAACTAAAATCAAATATTTCTGAACAGAAACTCAACTGGAACAAGCAAACCCATTCAGGAAACTAAACTGAATTGAAAACAAAAATTAAAATTAAAATAGGAATAAAAACTATTGAACAAACCCTAACCTAACTCTGCCAGGTACCTGTTTATTATCTTTTACTGCTCATTACCGAGTGAAACAACCATGTTTTTTTTTAATAGGTTTCACCGGCTTTAGTGTGAATACTAGAGTACTGAATTTATATTATGCATTTATTTTATTGTACATGTTCTTTGAATGTAAAGATGTGAAACGATAATGATTAGTGATCAATCGTAGTATCCAGTTTCACTTAACAAAAGGAAATATGCATTGATTTGCCCAGTGTATTTCCTACCTTTGAAATAAAAATGATTCTGTAATTTGATAAAGAAAATATTTTGTAGACTTTTGTCAGAGAAAATTGTATTAAACTGTACAGGGGCTGAATTTTAATACAACTCTCCTGTTTAGATCATATTAGGGCTTTTCCTCGGTTTCTCCATTTTCTATTCCTGGCTATTGTCATAACAAATGTAAGTGGAGGCCACTGCCTGTCGTCAGTCCAGCTACCCCATGCTGCTGTCACTCTTTGACTTGCCGCTGCTAGATGGCAGAACACACAAACCGGTTGCCGGATTCATGTATAGGGTGACGCGACAGTCCAATTTATTCTACGTATGCATGAAGCTTACATTACAACCCAACTTATTACTGTAGATTGCGTCCTTAAAATTGATCGGTAAAACTCTCTAGGCCTGTAAAACTGTGGAATTTAGTCCACGTCATTGTATGAGAGCCAGGTAGCCAGCTAGGTTTATGTGTGTTTTTAGTGCTTCAAAGCAGCATTTTTTCAGCTCAAGATAAATAATTTATTTGCAATGGATTCTCAAACCATTAAAAAATCCTTGGTGCCGACCAGTTCCTTTAACTGAGCTCCCACTCTCAATTGTGCTTCTAAACTGAGCTCAGTAAGCACCTCAAACACTTGAATGAATCTGAGTTAATTAAGGATGTTTTATGCAAAACTTGGCACCTCACCATTGCGCGCTCTTCGGCGACCTTGCCAAACTTTGTGATGCTTCAAAAGTAAAGACTGACTCCATGATTTTGATTAACTGACATTTTGTTGTCCCATTGATTGCTTTTGTGGAAAATTGAAAGTACTCTAACACTTCTGATAAGAGATGATTTGCACACATGGTAGGTTCCCTGTCACACTTCAGAAGCACGGATAATGACAGGAAGGGAGTCTTCCGCCAGTCCTCTGCACTTTGTCGATACTTGAATTTCAGATTGATCAAAACTGTTGAGCCGACTGCTTGGACTGGTAGAGGATTACATCATATGCAGCAGAGCTGAATGCTGGCCCAAGCTCTTCCTCTCACAGGCTTTGTCTCCTTTCTCTTACGACCTACTGCAATACAATTATTCCTCTGTGCCATTTCTGCCTTATGTCCATTTCTAGTCATTATCTTTTCATTTCTGACCCTCTTTATTTTTATTTCCTAAAATGATTTCCCACTCCATCCTCCCTGGCATCCATCCCCATACTCCAGTTCTCTGCTTTTATGAAAAAGAAAATTGCAAAACCAGAAAGATCTATAGTAGAAGAGACAGTGAACACATCACCCTACGTAACATCTGTCTATGTATGTGATGTCACAGAAGGTGTTGCAGTTTTTCTTGCATCCAGGAGGGTTTCCTGTGCTGCCTGCCCATAGCTCTTTAACCTAAATGTCCCCCGGTCGAGCTCCCTTAACCGGTGCCATTTAGAGCCTCACCGCTACACAACACACACACACACACACAGCATGACGAGGCTTGGCTCACGTGTTTCTGCATGATGCGCAACCTCCCACTCCCCATGCATGTCCACGTCCCCGGCACTAAAAGGGGAATTCTTATTGACAAATGTAAATCAGCATCATCCTGTGACGTGATTTCAATCTCACAGTACCGGCGTTGCTGCATGCACAAGCGCTTCCTGCGCGTCTGTTTGACCGTCACTGACCTGGTTCCTTAGCTTGCCGTCGGTTTCCAGGAAGTCCTCGACTCTCTCCTCCGCATCACACAGTGTTCACCAGCAGCAGCCAAACATCCCCATGTGTCGTGATGATGCAGTGAGAGCTGCCATGATGCCCGCTTTCTCTCTCTCTCTGTCTCTTTTCCAGAGCCTCGGGCAGAATTGGCAGCACTGAACACCTCTGCCTTGTCACATCTTTGCGTTCTCCCTCTGCCGCTCCTATGCTCATCTACTGTCAGACTTCTCACTGTCAGATTCTCTCCTGCTCTGCACCCCCTTCTTTCCTCCCTTCCCTTCTCCTTCTCTCTCTCTCTCTCCTCACAAGGAACTTGTTAGCTCGACGGCTGCTGCGGCTGAGTGCTGAGCTTGAACTGAGGTGAAAGCAAGCCTTTGAGGTCACAGAGAAAGGGGGGGGGGCAGTAGATGTGGGGTGGAAATGATGGGGTGGGGTGGAAAGTGTCAGTTGCTGTGTAAATAGCTCTTTTCCAAGTCATTAGGGAGATTATTGACACAAATTTAAACAAATCTTATTATATACAAAGATAAATAAGTGGACAAAGGAGTTTTCTCCACCCTTTCACACTCAGTGTTTTTCACTCCCTAATCCAGTATTTTTTTCTTACATTTATTACTTTGCAGGGTTTTATAATGCAAAATGTAAAGTTCCTTTTGTTTCCATAAGCTTTTGAATATTAAATCGAAGCGGAGACAAATGATCAGAGGAAACAGAGAAACCTGAGGACAGGCTGCTGGTGGAAATCATCATTATTTCACTGGCTTTACATCAGAAAAATATTTGACGCCATCACTGGGGTAGGGTCATCGACCCACGGGCGGTTGATATGGTAGGGAGGTGGCAAGAGGGTGACTGGACACATTAACGATAGAAAAATATATTCGATTTAATTGCATTTACGTGTATCAATATTTGTGTAGAAGAGCTCCAAACAAGATGAATTTGAACTCAAAAGCTCGATGTATATTGGCACTAGGTAAATCAATTTTAAGAATATCTAAAATTGGTTTTATTTTTTCAAATCTTCAACATCCTTCACAAACATGTTTTTTGTAATAACTTAAGCCTCAAATTGGTCTAAATGTGAACAGATTTTAATTGTATGCTAGCAGTCAACTATCTTTCTCCAGAA